TGCTTTTTAAGATCATGCTTAAACTTTTCCTAAGAAACTTCAACTAGTTTAGAAATCAATGTGTATGAGTAAATTTAAATTGTTCCTCTGAAAGCACCTCTTATCTACAGCAAAACTAATCTTACACTGTCTGATTAATTAGGCTTTCCCGTAGCTCTTCATAGTCTGCTCTAGCGTTAATAATCTCGTTAATTTTGGTTTGTGAGCAAACACTGTCATATCACTTTTCACTGACCTTCCCTTCTGACCCTCCAGAATTTACTCAAAGCACCTATTGTGTTCTTCGGTATGTGGAGGCACTGCAGTATGTCCCTACCAAGGAGCAGGATGCAGCTGAATCAGGGCTTTGATCCACTGAAAACTTCAGAAAACCGAAACAATTTTATAGCTTGAGGCAAGGGGTGTTTTGGGCTCTGGTTTGGTGTCCTGGTGATGAGCAAAAGCTTTTAGGTTTTGATGTACCTGGAATTTTATAGGAGGCATATACTGAGCAATTGCTATAGTTGTAGGAATCCTTTCCTTGCACAGCTGAACTTCACCTTGTAAGTCAGCCTGATCAGGAAGAAACTGGTTGATTATTTAGCTGAAAGCTACCTTATATACCTTTAAATGCTGCCTCCCCCTTGCTGTGTGGATGACTAAAGGCTGAAATGCTCTGGAAACACAATGAATATTCTGGCAGCCCAGAAATGAGTCTCTGAGGTCTTCTGCTTAGGATATGTATTTACAAAACACTCTAGGATGATGATTAATTGAGTCCAATATGTAAAGAGCCATTTTCTTCAGCTTTCTCAATAGAAAAAGGATCTTTTTGAATTATTAGACAAAGTCTGTCTTCACTGGAAACTCAGAGTGCTTATAAATCTTTGTGTTCCTCTGCTACATACCTGCAAGATGGAGAGCTCCACTTTAGGTAGGTTCCTGCACTCCATTTAAGCTGCAGTAATGGCTACCTGCTTCTGGATGGGGTAGTCCCATTTCTCATACCTTGCCATTACTTCCCACAGGCCAGCACAGGTGAACACTGAGTCATTATGCCTGGACCAGCTCCTTGTGAGACCAGATAAGCACCAGTGTTGATGCAAAGGAGATGCAGGACTGCTGTTTTCTGGAGCAGCCAGCCAGCCACCCAGTCAGATGGCATCCCCAAGAGCAGGCTTAGCCTCAAGCACAATGCCACATGAGCTCATCTCTTTTCATAATACTTAAAAAACTTGGGAGACTTGACCCTGCTTCTATTCCAGGCTTGCTCCAAATCAATTCTTTAATTTCTTTTTCTCTCTCCATGGAGGCATATAGTATTTCCTGGATTAGATGGGAGCTCACAAGGATTTAAATTGATTATAAAATATTTTGGCTCATACTTCAGTCTGCACTGACCTCTAGTTAGATATAATGATATTATTTCAGGTTGCATCTTTACTTACTAGTAAAGACTGCCATCAGCCTCACTTGTCCATCGTGCCAGTCATCTTGCAATCGTGCCAAAGCAAGCAGTTCCTTTCCCCAGGGCTGAATAGGCTGTATCACAAAACATTCATGTAACAACTTGACAAGGAGTTGTTCAAGTTCCCACCCGAGCCTACATCTGTAAAAGAATCCAAAAGTTTGAGGAGACTCAAAGCTTGTGACCCATCAGTGGCAAATTATACAGCCTCATTTTTGCCCTATGATCCTAAATGGAACCAAACTTTGGATATGTATTTACATGGAGAATAAACTGTTTTTCTACATGTACCAAGCCGTGTAATTAAAAGGAAATGACATTGTCTGAGATGAATTGGGGGAGGGACTGCTGACAAGACTTTGAAGTGGTTTGTTTTTATTCATACATGATCTCATGCAATACCTACTCTGAGCCCTAAAGTAAAGGCTGTGATGTGATGATAACCTTCTTGAGTGCACTCTGATCCACTAGCCTTAACAGGATTTCTGTAAAGGTGGGAGGGGTGAGACACAGCAGAGATACAAGAATTATCAATTTATTCATAGTACTGCCCTAATTCCTGCAGCACTAATTGTCACCTGTTGCTCTGCATGAAATTATAGTGCCTTGAACATGAGTAATGCCAGTTTGTTCTTCTGCTCTCTCCCTCTCCCTCTCTGCCTCCCTCTCCCCTTTCTCTTTTCCTCCTCTCTTTTCTTTGCTTCTTATTTGAAATTGGTCTGTTCTTTACTGTGGACACTAGTTCTTCATCTCTGGACTGAAACTGTTAACATACTTCCAATGCACTGTATACAACCATCAAGTGAAATTAATAACATCACAAACATCTTTGTAAAATCTCTTTAGTTTTGCAAGGAAACATTTAAAAGTTCTCAGCAGAAGCATTTTTTGATTGAAGTATTCATAATACCTGCCTGAAGGGGTGAGAAGAGAAAAACTAAACTTAAACCAGGACTCTCACTTTCATGACAAACTGATAAGGAGCAAAGTTTTCTAGACCTACAGTTAGATGGCATATAGGATGTGCATTGCACTGACTCAAGCAAGCACAAAAGCCTCCAAGCTAAATTCTGTGTAGTTTTGAGGAGACTGGAAAACTAGTGCTGCTTCCTCAGTGAGATAACTGGGGTTTTTTTTGAGAATTCAGAAGTATATGAACTCTGAGGTACATGTGTGATTCTAATTGCAAGAGCTTAATGCATGCATCATCCTAACATAAACAACTTAATTTCTTTATCTCACCGGTGGAGACCAAGAGGTGCACTTAATAACTTTTGGAATTACTATTTTGTCTGCCACAGCACAGGTATTTAGGCTCTGCCAGCTGGATCCCACTCACAGTTACTTGCTTGGCTCGCACTGTCAGGTGGATACTAATATGGTTGAGCAGAAAAGTGCTACTAATCAGGAAAATATGTAGGAGAGCCCTTTGCACCTTGGAATTCCCTGGTGCATTTTAACTGGTAATGATTGTACTCTAGTCACAAAACACACAGCAGAATGTATTGTGTGCACTACTCACGTGCTCCCTAGATAAGTAAGAATTTCCCAAGACTTTTCCGTGTCTCATGTAGTAAATAGTACAGAAACAGAAGGACAATTTACTTGAAGTCTGAATATAATGGAAGTTTCGTTTTCCACCACTGCAAATATTTTTTTTAGTAATAAACGATATCAGACTTTTAAGTTTGGCAATTAGTAAGTTGTTTTACTGGATAAATGAAAACATAGGGGAGTTCACACATTGTAAGGTGTGTGTGTATACATCAGTAATTTTCTGCCTACTGTTATACATAGCTACAGTTTACTTGTATCTGACTTTGATATGTGATTTCTGCTTATAGCTGAAAAGGGAGGCCAAACTTAGCAATGTCAAAGGCTGTCAGGAGGTGTTAGGAATACCTACCTTGCTCTCCAGTTAATTGCCTTTTCAGGGTGTGAACACTTGGGGATAGAGAAGGACTCTTGTGATATTTATACAGTTACTTTCAACACCCTGCTCTTGGTGACAGTTGTCTTCCCATGGCCCTTGCATGTCCTGTGCTCATTCACTGATTTCCTGAGTAGTCCGGGACAGGTTTTTTGGAGATGGATTTTTAAGGGGTTAGCACATATTTACACAAATATTACAGTAGGAGTGGAAGACACTGGACTGTGGTTATTAGTTTCTTTGTGGTTTAGTCTTTCTCTCTTGGGTTGGGGATTGGGCTAGATGACCTTCAAAGGATTCTTCCAACCCAAACTATTCTATATTTTATGATCTGTAGACTTGTCTATCTCCATTTTCCCCCATCCATGCCCTTCTTTGTCTTGTGCATTAAACAATTGGTGCCTTGTTACAAGGCACTGCTTGCTATGTATTTGTACAAAGCTTTGCAGAGGGATGCTATTCCAGCTAGTTCTACCAAGATATAAATGATAAAGTAAAAGAAAGTCCCAACAGAATATATACATAAGGGGCTCAGAATTGAATATCTTTTTCTTTTTTTAATTTCAGTTCAATAAAAAGTGTCACAATAACACAGCTTGTCACAATAAGAACTAGATAAAAGTCTGGGGCCTTGATTCTGCATTGGAAGATTAAAGGTGATTCCTTTGTTGGGGTTTTTTGCTTTGAAATCTATAAATAAATCAAATTTGGTCATTATGAAACAGTCTGACAACTATAGGATTTGCCAGGGTTTGAGCTTTCATGCCTCTGGTACCAAAAACTGAGTCTTGGCACAGGTAGATATAAGAGGCTGAAAAAGCATTTCTTAAGTGATTAATCACATCTCTCCTAATACGGAGAAGGTGGAGTGAAACCTCACTCTTTTTCCCTGTAGGCAAAAAGTTCACATATGGATTACAGGTTCAGCCTTAGGGTTTTTTAACACTAATCTCTAAAGAACTTTAAAATGAAATTGCTTTTGTGGATGCTAGTGAATCATCATACTGAATGATGACGGCAATGACCATCATTATTTACAATTCATTGTAAAATGTTACTAAAATCAGCAATGTGCGATGAATTTGCACTGTAAAATATAATGATCTGAACTAACTTCCATAACACAGTAAACTGTTTTGCTACATCTGCCAAGACACTGTGGCATAACATCACTTCTGCTTCGGGAAGTCTCCTGAACTGAGTGGAATCTCCTGAAGTTCTGAAGATTAGAATTTATACCAAATGAAAATATTTTCCATATTCTTACTGATGATCTGCTACCTGATACTTTTCACTTCTGTTGGATGTGACATAGCTATACAGTAGCTATCAGAAAAGCACTACATTAAAACGACTAGTTCCTTAGATCATGATGATTCAAAATTTGAGCAAAGTTGTACACATTTCTCTTTATTACAGATGAAGCAAGCTATATAAATATAGTTCTGGGCTGTGATCTGACAGAGACTGACCTAAACTAACTTCATGTTGGTTAGCATTTGGAGCATGCACCTCCAAGAATACTTGCCAAATTAAAGTTTAGATGAAGGTTTGGAAGCAGAACATATTTAATTTGAGTATTGATTTACATGCTTCAGGCTCTTCTTTCATTTTTTGTACTAGACAACTCTTTGTTGGAAAATCCTGTTTTCTGCAAATATCTGCATCAATGACTCGAAACACAGAAGAATAATTGCCATAAAAGGGAAACTCAGAATTACATCCAGTAAATTGCACAACCAGGATTACATGTGTCTGTAGGACAGAAGTAAAACAGGAGTCTCCTGTCTCATCACAGCCAAGGAGAAATGCCTTAAGCAAAGTTACTTGCCGTCACAGATCAAGGTGCACATCAAAGTATGTGTTTGATTTGATGTTTCTAAGTTAAATGTTAAAGGGATATTTATGATATTTAGGACATTGTGACACTTGTATACTTTAATTTAGGAACCCCTGATAGTGATAGCAGGAATGCATGTGTAATGGTAGGGTTGAGCTGATTGACCTAAACAATCTTTCAACTACACTGTAAATGTGTTGGGTATGTTGGTCTCTATGGAAAAAAACAAAACATAAAATAACAAATTTGGTTAGGAAAAAAATAAACAGTGGAATTTTGCATATATGATTCTGGAGTATATCACATAACAAAACACATATCTTGAACCTTATTATCTTGAGAGGTAGGAGCTGTTTAAATGTGTAAAACTCAAAACTTGCTGCCAAGGAGGTGAGATGGGTAAGGAAATGCTTTGATCATCAAAGTCACTGACCTTTTGGAAAAGCAATGAATTCTTCCTCCCACATTTTGGTACAAATGGAGCAAGGACAGTAAACTTCTGAAGGTGAGACCAGAAAAACTGTTTCTTTAGGGCTGGCATTTAGAAGGTGTTGCTGAATAGGCTGAATACTCCGAGCTAACACATGGCAGGTGCCTTCAAGTTCCTAATTAGGAAAATCAAAGAACTAAAGAGCTGTTGTAAATGTGGTCCAGATTTCAGTTTATTTCACTTGTAACCTTGTATTTGGTTAATTTCTGTCTGAAGCAGAGGTTGCTCAGTTGTCGCTGATCAGACTGAAACCAACCAGCTAGAGGAACTCCAGCATCACAGAGGCATTTATCCCAAAAGAAATGGCCTATGCTGATACCTGTAGGGACTTTTGCCCTGGACTGTTAAGTGATATTTGAGACAGTTTTCTGTTCCTTTCAGTCTGCTGTAGCCAGTGTATGGGACACTGTTGATAGTTCACTCCAGCAGGGAGAGATTATCCTTCACTCCTGCAAGACAGGCTGCCAGAAAAACCTCAACTCTAGACACTGAATGAAAATTTCATTTCAAAGTAATACTTGTGAGATAAATGTGGTTTTCCATTATGTTTAAATATCCTGATGGTCTCAGATCAATTAATTTTCTGTTGCTTCTGCAGTCTGACAATAGCCTCTATAGCAGCTTCACTTTCTATACCAGGTGATTATTCTTTCTAGTCAGTGGAGAATCACATGTCTGCAGAGGTGGTTTTGAATGATAAATGATGCCCTGGGTTTTTCTGTGTAGGAAGCTGCTGAGATCATGGAACTGCAGCTTCTTCAGATACTAAATAATATAAAATATTGAAATTGCTCAGTCTATATAAAATTGGAAGGTGAGCACACTCAGTGTCTGTGACGGGTGAGGTAAAATAAAGAACTGACACTAGGATTGTCACAAGGCTTGAGAGTGTCCAGGTCTTGCAGAGACTGCCACACCAGTGAAAATGAATTTGCTGATTGGAAAAGATCTTGAAGGAGTGCAGGAGTGATTGGGGTTGTAGGTTTGTTTTGGTTCTGGTCTTTTTGGGAGGGGAAGAGGGGAAGGGAACAGGTGGCAAACTAACACTGAAATACTGTGATTCTATCTAAGAGCAACTGATCTGCAGTCCTCCACTTCTGCTTGAAAGGCAGTAACTTCAGCTGTGGTAAAAAATAGTTAAGCTTGCTGAGACAGAAGAATTGGAATAGGAGACTGGGCCCATATTTTGAACTGAGGGAGTATAACCTGCAGCATTTCTGAATAATTTTCCTTAAGTTTTTCTTTAGAGTTATCTGAGAGGCACTCTTTGGAAATTTGATAAGTTTGGTTTCAGTCCAACTTTCTGAGCAACTTTTAACTTTATCACTCTACCCAGTATTATTATTTGAGTTTAACAGCCAAATTTGTTGGAACAGATGAAAATTTTTATTCTGCTAAACTGAATAATTTTTTTTAACAAAATAATGAAATTGTTGATAATTTAGGGGTTGGTTTTGATTTTTTCCACTTTGACATGTGAATGGAGTGGGTAGTCTTCTTTATTATAGAGCTTGAGCCATTGACCCCTCATTTTCTGTTCTATGCCAATTCCCTCAAAATCTCTAAGACAGTGTCATAGCCAGTGCACCTGGAAAAGAAATAAGAAAGAAGGAAACAACAGCTTTATGCCTTCTTTCTCTTCTCACCACTGCCATATAAAATGCAAAGAAGAATTAACATTAGGTGCTTTCTTAATGGCAAACGGTATGGAAAGACGTTATAGAGCTGAGTGGGATAGACTTCTTGTGTGATTAGGCACCCATTAGTGTAGTGCCTACTCATGCTGTGTCTGAGCAACTACAGCTCTTTCAGCTGCTTCATCAAATTTTGCCCTCAGTGGTGTTGGCTCAGAAGGAAGAGCAAGTACCAGTGGGAAGGTAGGGTGCCTGTAGCAGCCTGAGGGGCAGAGCTGTTAGGAAAAATAAACTGAAGCTCTGCTGTTGCTTTTGTGGTGAATGGAGACAATGGGAGATAAAAGCATAGGAACGCCTAGGCTGATCTGGGGGACTTCTCCAATTTGTTGTACATTGATTTTGGAGATCAGCCACTGATCTGGTGACAACCTTAGGAATGTTTTCTGCCTCTAACCCTTCAGGGAGACAGGACAAGGGAATACACAGCCTTAAGATGCTTCCAGTGGGTAATATTATTCATCACAATATAATAGTGATTTTCCTGGATAGGAAAACTAGCTTTCCACTAAAATATTGCATCTAAGCTAATGGATGCATCACCAAAGGGAGAACTGCTGCTGAAAAGACAGTTGGATACTGTGTTGCAAGGGAGAAAATGAAGGTGGTTAAATAATATAAACAATTCTTTCTTTCACTTCTGAAGAGAAGAGAAAATCTTTGAAGAGTGACTGTAATTGCTGCATAAAAATGGACAAGTTTGTACATGTTATTCTGTTTATCATATGAAAGAGTAAGGACCAAAAGTATAGATGCCTTCATCTCAACAGGTAGGAATAGGCAGTTCGATCAATGAACCTCTAAGGCAGCTGGATTTAAAAGCTAAATTTAGACACATAAAGGCATGTAATTTTTTGGGAATCTTGTTGAACTTTACTGTTCCTCAAGAAGATCCACAGTGGTAATATAGACTGGTGTATTTAATTTTTTTTTTTTTAAAGATAAAATCACATTTTGGTTTTAAAACAACTAGCAATACTGGGAGTAGTTCTTCCTCATTTTCATATGTAGGAATTCTTCCTTTGAAATGTGCAGTATTCTGTGGTTAGAGATGGATTGAAATGGTGGTTTATCTTCCTCTGACTTCATTTTTTTGTTGCTGGATCTTTGACATTTTAGAGTCAACCTGGCAGTCATATTATTTCTGTAAAAGTATTCAGTTAACAACACTATTAAAGTAGTAGTTAGGTATACTTCAGAGACTGAAATGTCCTTCATTAGAAGAGAAACTATCCATCTAAACTTGTATCCCACTTGACAGAAATAAGTGGGCTTTTTGCTTGTCAAGAGCATGTGCGATTGTTACGCAAAGGGAAAGACTGCACTATAATGAGAGGTACTGTTTTTGGCTTTTAGAGAACAAAATGCATTTTTATGAACTCCCCTCCTTCTTCCTTCAAAATTACAGTGTCAAAAATAACTTTAATATATTGGCAGATGTAACTTAATGGACAGCTTAGACTATTATTAACAACACAAGCACAGATGTTTTAAATGCAATGATGTCTCACTTCTGGAGAAGAGATCCAACCAAACTTTGGGGTCTCTAATTGCCATAAAAAGCAACAAAGAAAAAGTGCACTTTCACTTTCTGCATTACATCTTGAAAATTGTCTCTGTGATTAAGACTCCCTCTCTGATGCTCTCTTTGCAATGTTCCTACACTGTCAAGGATTATTAACAAGTCCTTCAGTCAAAACAGATCAATACACAAAAAATAGGTAACAGTCTTTCCTTGTGAATATTATCAAAATCTATCAAACATACTATTGTTTCTGGTACATGTTCCCTGTGTCTGTTATATAGTCAGTCAAGCAGAACAAAATGTAATTTGTGGATGCACTGAAGAATGATTATGCTTACAGTTATTGGCTCTCTGAACTAACCTCTAATTACAACCAGAGAAATCCTTGCCAAGTGGATTTACTTTCTTATGCTATATTTAATGTAATGTTTTCTCCAAAACAGGTAGTTGCCTGTTTTATTAATTTTTTCCATATTGAGCTGATTATCTGTCACCCATCTTCCACAGTTTCTACCATTTCATTATTGATCTCCCTTTATATTACCCAGGAAAAATGGAAGAAGTGACTGACATGATTCCTTCTTCTTCATCCCACCATTCTTTTCCTATATAACTGGGGTATCTTCTTGCCTAGTTTATACATTTTTAAATCTTGCCTGACACAGTTTAAACATTGCAAAACGAATTCTCCATGTCTATTGCTGTGTTAATTTTTTGTCAGTGGCTGTTTTTTTGTTGTTGTTTGTTTGTTTTGTGTGGGGTTTTATGTTTTATTATTATTTGTTTGTTTTTGTCATCCCCAAGTTAGCTAATACCAAACCAAAGTGGTTCCATATCAAAAGGTCAACCTGACAGTATGGGATTTCAGACATTTATTTCCTCTCCATTGAAACAAAATTCTGTCATCCTTATGGAAAGAGGCTTTTCTAGTACCTTATCTCATCAAAGACATTGTAGCATTGCCCTACATCCTTCACTCACAGAATCACAGACAGAATCAACCAGCTTGGAAAAGACCTCTGAGGTCACCAAGTCCAACCCTTGATCCACTACCACAACAGTTACTAGACCATGGCACTAAGGACCACATCCAGTCTTATCTTAAAAACCTTCAGGGATGGTGAATCCACCACCTCCCTGGGCCACCCATTACGATGTCTGATTATCGGTAAAAAATTTCTTCCTAATATCCGACCTAAACCTCCCCTGGCACAGCTTAAGCCCGTGCCCTCTTGTCCTACTTCTGATTGCCTTGGAGAAGAGACCGACCCCCACCTGGCTACAACCTCCTCTCAGGGA